CCTACACTATGCACAGAAAAGCTCTTCAACCTTTTAAGACATTCCTAGGGCTCAGACACCAGCACTGGGCATATGAGCTCCTCAGTGCTGAAAGAGTGACACCAAAGGAAAGGTGTGTAGGAGGGTGGTGAGGGAGATGAGATTTTTCTTGGGAAGTGTGATCACCTTACCAGCTATGGAACTAAAGAGCTGACTTCAGATCTCTTTACCTTTAGGTCTCAGCCCTTCCTCTGGGCTTGCCTGCCTGCAAAATCGGCAGATGAAGAATCCCTGGTGGAGATTCATCAAAAAGCCTGTTGGCAGTGGCACTGATAACATGTCTGGCATGAGTGAGTGATGGATGGCAGCCTCTATCCAGGGTTTGTTTGGTTGCTGTCCTAACAAGAGAAAGGAGGCAGCACAAAGGGGGAGAGATTTATGACAAAGTCACTTGGAAGAAAGAATTCCATTATGATACTAGCTGGTTGTCTTTAAACAAGAGAAAAGACATTAAATGAATCAAACATCCACTTTTTATTCCACCGTCTTGTGCCAGGAACAATATCCTTTCACTTAGCTTGGGGCGTTCTGGCTTCAGCAGTTTGGGTGCATGTCTCTAGAGAGTCCTACATTTATTTTTTCAAACACAGACATGTGAACCTGCCAGCATCTGAATTCTGAGGGGATTTCAACAATCCTGATTCCATGTCTATGGAGAGTATCGGGCTTGATGCGCTGCAGGGTACCACCACAAATTTTCTCCAAGGCTAGATTGCACCTCTAGGAGGTACACAGCAGTCCATTTTATAAGAACATATTGCCTTGTCACTGGATCAGTGGAAGTGACTAGTATTCTTAGGAGCCACAAACTTGCTTTATGACTGACTTCTAGTTATAGGGTCTCTTTGTACCTTCCTTTTTGCATCTGCATAACGAAGATAATGGAACCTACTTAGTTGTATTATACAACATTTGGGCAAAAGGTGCTTTATGAGAGCAAAGGCATATTGGTAATATTATTGTATCTTTGTCCAGGCCAGGAGCCCGAGTAACAGAAGTGTGCACCGAAGGCTGGGCTGCTTTGCTTCATGAGCTAGGGAGAACATGAGAGTCCCTGTCCAGCAGCCTACACCATTGAAATACATACTGCGGAGCCTTACTCCTTCACAGCAACACCACAGACTCTGGAGGGTTTCCCT